AAAGAGTGGGAGTCCTGGTATTCCCAGAGCTTTGGTTTGCATTTCTCTCTGCGGGAGGAGCAGTGGCAGGAGGACTGGGCGTTTATATTGTCATTAGCTAGTCAGGTAACCAACCAGATGAGAAAACATTAATATTTCACCACCTACTGAGATACCTGCAGTTGACTCATGCAGACACACATCCCACCCGAGAGGATGAGGCCTGGACAGATGTCTGAGCAATAAGCACTTTTTATAGCGTTGTTTCCATACTGCTCTATGGACGATTTTGAGTTTCATTGTGCTTAAAGTCAACACGACATCACAACTGACCATATCAGAATACAGAATACACATTTGTCTTATTGTGAACGATTCATCAGTGCATGTTTTTCGAAAGGAACTAATCTTCAAAAGTCAAAAGCTTTCATCAAGATGTAACAACTCACTCCAGCTCTAAACAGTTTCCCTTTTTTGGCTGCTTTGAATGGATTATTGAATATCATCAATGTGTCAAAATATGACAGTAAAATGGGTTGCATATGCTGTTTCATGTTGAATTATTATTTTTTTTCATAATAAAATATTCAGATGAGTTTGGGAAACACAACATTGAGTTTTCCCTAGTAAAAGTTGTTTTAACATTTTATTGTGGTTCTCTTGCTCTCTCTCTCTCTCTGTCTCTGTATTCTTGTCTCGTCTTCCTGCAGCCGGGTGCGAGTTTAGAGCAGACACACGTGTTTGTCTTGGCACACATCCTTCGGAGGCCTATCATAGTGTACGGTGTGAAATATTACAAGAGCTTCAGAGGAGAGACGCTGGGATATACACGCTTTCAGGGTAAGCTGTGTTTAAAGGTGCTACGCTTGTGTGTAGATATTTCAATTTCATTTGGTTTGCTCGTTTCGCAATGGCAGTTTCTCATATCTAAATGGACAGATTGGCCTATGATCACAGTCTATATAGACAGATAGATATAGATTTACTACTGTTCAAAAGTCAGTAATTTTTTTTTTAAATATATAATTTATTATATAATATATATATATATATATATATATATATACTGTATATATAATTATTTTTTTTATAAATGCTCTTCTTTTGAACTTTTTAGTCATCAAAGAATCCTGAAAAAAAGTGTATCACTGTTTCCACAAAAATATCAAGTGACAAGTGTTTTCAGCATGATAATAAAAAATGTTTCTTGAGCAGCAAATCAGCATATTAGAATGATTTCTGAAAGATCATGTGACACTGAAGACTGGAGTAATGATGCTGAAAATCCAGCTTTGACATCACAGGAATAAATTATATTTGAAAATATTCAAATAGAAAACAATTCTTTTAAATTGTAATAATATACAATATTACAGTTTTTACTGTATTTTCGATCAAATAAATTCTGATCAAATAAAAACCTTACCAATCCCAAACTTTTGAGGGGTAGTGTGTATATAAATTCAAATTTGATATATAATTTATATATTCATATATTTATACATGAGGTTTTTATACAAGGAATGTTTACTCAAAAATATATATGGAAACAGAAAATATGTATTATCCATTGACAAGGCTGTTTTAGACATTTCTTAAAATTACAAAAATAGGTGCAGTTGCCTGCTACCAAAAATCTACCGCTAAAAAGTCAACAAATGGCCAAATCTCTTCCGAATAATTGACTTGGCCGATGAGTTGATCTAATTATAAAGAGCTTGTCACTGCACACATCTGACGATTATATTCATTTTATCAGTATTCACAGTGATGATTAGTGTAAGCACATTAGCATTATTCTCTGAGCTGTTTGGCCACGTTGACCAAGAAATGTGTGATCTATTATATCTGCCGCTGACAGGCTGTTATTGCTACTATAATGACTCTCTGTCAACACTCTGCTGACTTCAAACACGGTGTTGGTTTTTGGGGTCAGTCACACAGAGTTTCTGTAATTACTGTTTGCTTTGGTTGTTATCTTCTAGGTGTATACCTGCCTCTATTATGGGAGCAGAGTTTCTGCTGGAAGAGCCCTATCGCCCTGGGTTACACGCGTGGACACTTTTCCGCCTTGGTTGCCATGGAGAACGATGGCTACGATAATCGAGGCGCGGGCGCCAACTTGAACACAGACGATGATGTCACTGTCACTTTCCTGCCGCTGGTTGACAGCGAACGAAAGCTGTTGCATATTCACTTTCTGTCAGCACAAGAGGTGAGAACAGCTCTGCTGACACGAATACACTCTGTAGAGCATGAATATATATGAGGGTTTAAGGCTTACACTACGTCTGAATTTTCAGTGTGAAAAAATATACAAAATTATTGTCTTGTTTTGTAGCCTTATTTTTTTTTTTTTATTTAAGGCAAGACATAACAGGTGAATAGGATAAAAAAAAAAATCTGACTAACAGAGACTTTCCCCGGTTCATTAATCACAGTACATTAAGACAACGGTTTTGCATTACAAGTTTTCTAAAATATTATGTTGAAATATGCACTAATTTGCATACATTCTAAAACTAAACATTCTAAAAATCTGAATCTTGGATGAAGCCAGGTTCAAAATTCTTCTTTAATTTTGTTGACATATTAGAGTTAAAAGTTCTGATCTGTTCTAAGAAATTAGATCAAAAAATACTGTCAACAGCCAGAAAAAAATACATTTGCACCATGTTTTTAGGAATAAAATGTTATATAAATCATGCGAATGATATATAAACAAACTCTTCTGTAAAAATCTTCAGAATATTTATAGAAATAAACTGTAAAGTTTGGTGTGTGTGTAAGAGATTTCAGAAAACATTTGAGAAAATATTCATTATAGTTATTTCAAACTAATACCATACAAAAATAACATTTCCGGTACTTGAAATGTTTACTGAAATAAAATAAAATTAAATTACATTTAAAAAAATTAAATAAATTGAAACTAGTTGGGCAACTTTTCTAATTTTAATTCAGTTTAAATTGATGTACTAAAATAACTAAAACTGAAATAAAAAATTAATTGAATTGATATGGACACATGAAAAAACTACTAAAAACGACAAAAATGCACAACAAAATTGCTAAAAATGAAAATTTAAAAATGAAGAGTAATTCAGAATATTAATAAAAACTATAATAGTACCCAAGTGAAACTAAAATAGCACTGATTGTAATTGAAGTCTACAGAGGCAAATAGATAAAGTGTAATAAAATAACTCTTAAATGTGTATTCTGGATGTTTTTTCCACTAGTTATGAAGCAAAATAGCCCAAAATCTCAAAATTGACCAGTGCGTGAAAAAACAATGGTGTTGCCTATAGTGTCTTGCCTTAATCAATAAATAATAAGCGTATCTACTTTATTGATGTCAAACAATTCATTCTAGTATCCAAATGTTTTTTAGAACTTGCTGAAAGTTCAACATCATGCTCTTTTGTGGCAAATTTTTTTATTTTTATTTTAGGGTACAAACGATGTACTAAAAACTGAAGTTTTTCCTTTTGCATTTTTGAAATGTTTCATGTACACATGTTGTCAAAACGATCCTTGAAAACAACTAAAAACACTATTATGCACGCCAGGCCAGTAGTTGGCGATGTAGACTGAACAAATAATTGATTTCAAAGACTTGCACTTTAAAACGTTTTCAAAAGTCTGCCTTTTCCAAGTAGGTATAACTGCAGACCGGAGATCTCCAAAATGGGGCGTGAACTCCAAAAGTGGGCAGAACCTCCAAAATCGGGCGGGGTCTCCTCGCGCAAAGACTTCAACCATTGGCTCTGGCTTCAGCCAATTGTTATTGACTTACATTTCAAAATAAAACTTTATAAGTTAAACATCGTTTCTAGTTGATCTAAAATAAAATATGCTATATAAATAAATATTCTCCGTGAGAGCAGAGCCCAAAGCTCGTGGCCAGTGGTGTTCGGACCGGAGTTTGAACCTCTGCTTCATGATGTAAACACGAATCACCCATGAGCTCTCCCGCGAGCCGTCCCAGTGCAGGGGAAAGATTTTACTCTATCGCTTTGTTTTAAGCAACGGGGGTGTCCCGGGGCTCGAAATTCGCAGGGTAGGAGGGGGTAGTGACGCTGGGTGCAACTAAAAAGGTGCCATTGTCCGGTGAGGTCCGGTTGGGGAGTTACGGAACGATCTCATATCGCATAATCTTTTTAACTGTTTATCTCCTGAACTGCATCTTTCTTTACCACGCTATTCAGCGCCAATCCCGCCGTGCAGCCAATTTCAGTGGTGAAGGTTAGGGTCAGGTGTGGGGTAGGTTTAGGTGTTAGCATTTTTTGTAGTTTAGTGTAGGAAATCAACACTTTAATTGACACAATCAATAAAATCTTTAGAATCAGCTGTGGGGCGGAGTTTGCACTGAAGTGGATTGGGGGAAAAAATGCCCATGCGTGTCATGTGCCTGTCTGACAATGGGAGGAAGCCTCGCCCTATTTTGGAGCTCCCGCCCCCATTTGGAGAGCTCCAGGCTGCAGATATCCTTCTCGCCTTTGTAGGCCCCCCAAACGCCGTTGTCATGTAAATGAACAACCAAAACGCATAAAACATTTTTGAAAAACGTCACTTTTTAGTTGAAAATGGTGTCATAAAAACGCACCCTTAATTAGTTTGATCACTGCTATTAAATGGAAAATACATGTTTTTGGAAGCTGTTTATGAGCTGTTGTTGATATACCTTGACGTGTGTGTCCGTCAGATGGGGACGGAGGAGCAGCAGGAGCGGATGCTGAGGCAGTGGATGGACTGCTGTGTTACGGAGGGCGGGGTTTTGGTGGCCATGCAGAAGAGCTCCAGGAGGCGGAACCACCCACTTGTCACTCAGATGGTGGAGACGTGGCTGGACGGTTACCGGCAGCTTGCTGCTTGTCCAACTCTGTCTGACGGAGAGGAGGAAGAGGAGGACGAAGATGAGTGAAGAACAGTCGGCGTCACTTGACACTACAACACGACCCTCTTGCGTTCCCCAACATACGGAAACACACAAACACACACCTCTAACCCCGACCGAACGACAAACCCAAGCTTTCCTTTTTGGTTTTTGTCCCTAATACGACAAATAATTTGGGTTTGTTGCAAAATAAAGGAATGCAATCATGATTGTATTTGTCTTTACAGAGTATGTTCTTTGCTTTCGTTTGTGTTTTGGTTTTAATTTGCTGGTGCAATGCTTGTAGTGATTTAAGAAAAAGAGGAGGAAGGAACAGGAAAGAAAAAGAGATTTAAATAGGTAAAATGCAGCAATTTAAGCACCCTTTTTAAAATGTCTGACGCAGATGTCTATTTCTATTTGTGTAGCGTGACTCTAGACTAAGATTACTAAAACATAATTCACTACACGTTTGAAAATGAGCATTATCTATGAATCACACGTATGACTGTCACAATTGTTTGTTTTTTTAAATAAAGCTGTCGTTTCTCACCTGATTGTTACGAGGAGAACGCAAGTGGATATTTTAACTCGATTTCTAACAGATTTTCTGTATTTATCTGAATAATAGTGTGTGAGCCATAGAAATGAATGCTTTTCCACTCACATTGTTGTCTCTCGTCGTCCCATCTTTGAACTGCACTACAAACGTGAACGCTGCAAAGAAAAAGAGGCATGTGTCAGTTTACTGTGTCCGTTGGATGCCGTTTTTGAAAGGGAACATTATTTCAGCTCTTCTTTCAATGTGGTCCCTTCACTCTTTCAGTTGTGTATTTGTGTGTGTCTGTTGTTTTTTGTGAAATGTCTGGCCACAGATTTTTCAGTGCACATTTTTCCACTCAGTTTCCAAACCTTGATGAAAAAGACTTGATGTAGACCAAAGTGAACATTACGAGAGATCTGTGGAGTGTTTTTGCAGTGCTAATATAAACCCCCCCCCCACCCCCATTCCCATCTCATCACCTCCTGTGATTTTTATGTCTGGTCCTTCTCACATCTCACATCCTCATGTTTTATTTTCTATTTTAAATTATGTGATAGTTCTGCTACACTATGGTATATTTGATATATAAGGTGGAGACCAAACTTGGTGATATTGAAGACCTAAGTGTTTTGAATGTCCAACTATGAAACTATTATAAAACTTCGAAACAAAACAAAAAGTGTGGTTTCCTACATACAAACTACACATGCTTATATGAGAAAAGCTCAGCTATTTGTTTTATGTAAGGATGTTGCAATAGCAAATTCATTGCTATACCCTGTATATTTGCTATATATTGTTTTAGACTATACATTAACCATGGAAGATTATACTGAAAGACCGAAACAGGCATGCCAAAGCATTACAAGTCGAACAATGTACTGCTAGAATGTCATGGTGAGTTGTTTAGCAACACAGAACCTGCTAAAACAATGCATGCATGCTTCATTAACTAGTGTACACTTTGTACAGGGTTTCCGCCACTTTTGACCAGTGAATTTCTATTACTTTTCCAGTCTTTGTTATACATTCAAAACGTACACATATGTCATCTATGATCAAAAACTATTTAAATGGGACACAATGGTGAGTTGTTCAATGAGCAATATCTAGCCAGTGAAACATAAGCATGATTAGAAAAATGTACATTCAATAAAATGTCCAGAAATTTCCCCAGGTCTGAACATCACAGTTTTACAGTTCTTTGATATATTTTTTGTTCATGACTGGGGATCATTTGTAAAGTCACAGAAGCTGCAAAATCTGCATAGGAAATCTTTCTCCCTCAAGCGATGACACGGATTCCTATTGAAATGAATCGATTTGGACTAAAAGTCTGTGGCTAGTTCACTCAAAAATGAAAATTCTGTCATCATTTATTCCACCTCAAATTGTTCCAAACCTGTATGAGTTTATTTCTTGTGCTGAACACAAAATAAGTTATTTGGAAGAATGTGGGTAACCAAATAGCTGCAGGTCCCCACTGAGCATGGAAAAAAAAAATGGAAGTCTATGGAAGTCAATGGGAACCAGCAACTGTTTGATTATCAACATTCTTCAAAGTATCTTCTTTTGTATTACACAAAATTTCAGGGTTTCAACATTTTCTCGGTTTTCATTTTTGCGTGAACTATCCCTTTAAGAGAAATAGTTAATTATGTTGAACAATTTTCAACGTATCAGTTATTAGCCCTAAATATGCAAAAACGAACATTCATTCAGGTTTTAATGATTTACAGTGTGAAATCTCAAAACCTGACAATTATTTTTTAACTACTAACCCTGGGGTAATTAACCCTGTAAACATTTAAACTGTGGCTGTAATGAAAACTTGTCTTCATGACAGATTTATTCAGACATGATTTTTTTAAATTATTTATTTACTTTTTTCTAGCTAAATAAAGAGTTAAGGACATTAAAGGGGTTATATGATGCTATTTTAAATATCATTATTTTGTGTATTTGGTGTAACAGAATATGTTGACATGCTTTAATGTTCAAAAAACACATTATTTTTCAAATACTGTACATTATTGTAGGTCCTCTATGCCCCGCCTCTCTCAAACGCTTCGTTTTTAACTTTTATAAAGAATATCTCTTTGGGTTTGAGACTTTAGTCTTTGCAACTTTACAGATCTTCTTTATGCACCAAGAGCTTGTAACACTCCAAAGAGAAAGGAAAACTTGAAATCGCATCATATGACCCCTTTAAATCATTTGCCTTAGGTAAATGTTACATGACAATTGATTACAAGCCGTTTTATTAACATCTTTCCGCGGTTGAAACACTGATTGAGCGATTACGAGACATGAGACATTTCATTAAGTTGGGTACTGGTTCTTCCAACATACTTCTTATGTTCAGTCATGTATTTTTCACGCTATAACTAGCAGTAAAGACGGAAAGATGATCAGTTGACTGCCACCACATTTAATAGCATCAAACGACATATAAAAAATAAATAAAAAAGTAATACAGAACCAATCTTATTGCAGTTATTGGATGCCAGACGCGCTATAAAATGTTTAGTGAAGTTTTGTTTACGCATCAACTGAAAAAAAGCACCGACTATAAAATCACACATATCATTAAAATGAAAATATTAAAAACGAAACATCTATATTAACAGGCCATGCATCTACACAGCTGACATGTTTACCTGTTGTAACTTCCTTGTATGTTGTGTGCACGAAACAGACACTGACACCAACGAAACGCGCCGTCGGAAAAGCGCTGATTAAACGTCAAGGTCATGGCCAATGATTTCGACCCTCCAAAACTATTTCAGCCCAAACTGAAAATGTATTTTCGGCCAACGAAATTTAAGTTCATCAGTAGAAAATATGAAACAGTAATCCAAACCCTAACCAATGACAGGTACATCTCATGCTTTATTCGTCAGATAATTCAGTAAAGGCTCAGAGAAACTCTGAACTGAAATATTTAATTGGCATTGAGCACAAATGAACAACAGAGGGTTAAGTCAGGAATCAGAGTTAATATATTTAAACCAAAAAAAAGGGTGTAAGACTGGATAATGGCATATTAAAGGTAGAGCCCCTCCGGTGTCCCCTCCTGCTTCTTGTACAGGACGTTCTCTTTGGACTTCTTGAAGTCTTCATTAGTAACTTTCATTCTCCGTTCCCTCAGAGCCATCAGCCCTGCCTCTGTGCAAATGGCCTGGAAGAAAAACACATAAATCACTATTAAGTACAATGAAGTGCATATACAAATTTGTTCACAATCATTCATGGCCTTTGTTCATGTTCAGTTCATATTTTAGGCACTGAAGAATGTCCACCCAAAAATGAAAATTCTGCCATCATTTCTCACCCTAATGTCATTCCAAACTTGACTTTCTTTTCTTTGGTGGAACATAAAATATAAGCTAAAAGATAATATAAAGAATGTTGGTAACCAAACGGCTTTGGTTCCCATTGACTTCCATTGTATGGGCAAAAAAATGGAGGTCAATAGGAACCAAAACTTCTTGGTTACCAACAATCTTTAAAATATCTTCTTTTACGCTTTGCAGAAAAAAAAGAAATGCATACAGGTTTGGAAATGCATGAAGTTGAGTAAATAACGGCAGAATGTTCATTTTTGGGTGGACTGTTTAAACCTAAATTAAAATGGTCAATTAGTCAAACAAGGTGAAATGAACTACATCATCTTGTTCTGCAATATACTGTTTTTGCATGTAATCAAACTGCACAAGATTATGCATCTATTTAATTAAACGGGCCTTTAGATGCTACCTTGATGTCAGCACCAGAGAGGTCTTCTTTAGCCAGGATGAGGTCATCCAAAGTCACGTCATCCGCTACCGTCATCCTGCTGGTGTGGATCTGAAAGATTCTGCGCTTAGTCTTCTCATCCGGCAGTGGGAACTCAATCTTACGATCGATTCTACCTGTGAAATCACACAAAGGGAACATCTACTTTTAGTCTACAAAGTAATGCACTTCATCCTTTATTGAATGTAATTATGTGCACTTTAAAACAAAGGAAACTCTCAGACCAATGTTTGCGACTTCAGAGAGTTTGCATCTGGCCAGTGAGTCCACTTTGATTCAATTAGCATTATAAACAAGGTAAGCTGACTAATTCACCTGGTCTAATGAGAGCTGGGTCAAGTGTCTCTATCCTATTAGTAGCCATGATGACTTTAACGTCTCCACGCGAGTCAAATCCATCCAACTGGTTTAACAGCTCCAACATTGTTCTCTGGATCTCACGCTCTCCTCCTGAATTAGATTCATACCTGCAGAGAAACAAGAGCCAAATGTCAAGTGTTTACCACTGTTTATAATAAAAACAATCCAATCTGTACCCAATATACACACACCTGGGGCCGCACATAAATTCTCTTTTTTTACAGTATAATTATATTTTGTCAGTGTTAGTTCTAAAATCTAACAACAGCCAACAAGTTTTGTTTTTCAAATATTTTTTGTGAATTATGAGTGAATATTGTCATAAGTGTGTAAGTGTATTTATAGTGTAAATAAAAAACTGTTTAAATATTGTGTAAATAATACATTTAAAATGTAATCAAATGCACACATTTTAACATTTAGAATTATATATTAAGAAATGAATACTTTTATTTGTCATAGATGTATTAAATTGATCAAAAGTGACAGTAAAGACATTTATACTGCTACAAAATATTTCTATAAAAGATTTGTAAATGATAGGAAATGTTTCTCGAGCAGCAAATCAGCATATTAGAATGATTTCTATAGTAATAATGCTGACCTTCATACTCACCTCTTTGTGCCAATAGCGTCAATCTCATCTATGAAGACAATGGACGGAGCGTGCTCCTCAGCCACTCTGAAGAGCTCTCGCACCAGTTTGGGACCATCGCCCAGGTATTTCTGAATAAGCTCTGAGCCCACCACCCTCAGGAAGGTGGCAGACGTCTGGTTCGCCACTGCCTTCGCCAGAAGAGTCTTGCCTGCACAAAACATATGCTAAGAAAATGACAACATACAGATGCAGATTGGTTTTTAAGACCCCCTCAGACTGACCTGTTCCCGGTGCGCCGTACAGAATGACCCCTTTAGGCGGCTTTATTCCCATCTCTTCATAATACTCTGGATGTGTGAGGGGGAGCTCCACAGACTCCTGAATGAAGAAATGCACAAGGTCAAACATGCCTTAGAATTCATGTAATGTCCTGATTAATGTTCCTGGTGTTCTTGTGCAGGATTCATCAGTGTATGTTATTCTAAAGAAGAAAATGTTATGAAAAACGCATTTCATCAAATTGTATTGTATTGTATATTGTATTGTAACAGCTGACATAATCAAGGATATGTAGACAGAGAAAAACTGCCAATAAGAAATAATTAAATCAATATAAATTAATATATATATTTTAATTAATATAATATAATGTATGTCCTATTTTTATAAACCAATCAAAATACAAAAAACAACAACATTTTTTGCAGTTTTTAGCCACTTTGAAATGAAATTAATTTTATGGAGACTAATCTGTTACCTTGATCTCTTGAATCTGGTTGTCCAGACCTCCGATGTCTGCGTATGTCTCCTGCGGGGCTTTCTCTACCTTCATTACAGTCACCAGAGGGTCTGTGTCATCCATAAGCACCCCGATTACTGCATGAACCTGCAAACATGTACATAAATTAATAACAAAACATAAAATACATATTATAATACATGATTTAATAAAATAATAATTTAATAATGTTATTATTGACAGGTCTAAAAAAAATATTCAAAATGCAGTACTAAAATTGACTTCTGTATTTAGATAAAGCTAAGTGAGTGAGTCAATATTCAAGTCTATTATGAGCACTTTAAAACAAATGAAACTCTCACACTAATGTTTGTGACATCAGACAGTTTGTGTCTGGCCATGTTAAACCCACACCAGAAATAAACATGGTCTAATGAGAGTCAAGACAATCTAAGTGGGTCAATATTCATTTCTATTTATCTTTCCATTTCCTTAGGTCTATTCAGTGATTTTAAAGACTTTACTAACCTTGTGGTTCAGTAACACAGAGCAGCCGGGCTCAAGAAGGTCTTTATCTACAAACGACAGAATGCTGACATAATGTTCAGAGCCCACTGATGTCGACACAATGGCGTGATTATCGTCAATGATCTCCTCCAGAGTTCCCACAGACATGGGCGTCCCTCTGAGATCGTCCACTTTCGATCTCTCCTCCTATAAACAAAACATGATGTTAAGGGCTGGGCTTGATTTTGATCTAGATTTGTGTTTCTAGATTTAATATCTTTCATTAAATATTTTTTATTCTGTAATGCCTCTTCGGGCCAAATTATGGTTCTTCTGATTCAAAATAAAAACAATAATAATTATAGAAATTGAAAAAGAAAAAACATTTTATATACACAATATAAAAGAGACACAATAATACATGTGCTCACCTCCTGTTTCTCCTCCAGGGGTTTCATCTGCTCCTGGTTCCTGATGAACTCCTCCTCCATCAGCAGAAAGTCTTTAATTCTCTCTTGTTTGAGGAGTTTCAGTCTGCACTGTGTGTGTGGAGTGACTGAAGAAGAAAGCGACAATAACAGCTCATGATTTTATGGATCACTACTATCTACGTAACAGCCGCTTGACACAGGTATCATGATATTTATTTTACCCAGAGGGAGTTTGCTGGCAGCATCTGGTCCCTTCACTTTCTTCTTCCTTTTCCCAACTCTTGTGGGAATGGGAGGCTCATATTTCTTTTTCTTATCCTGCAATTCAATGCACAGATGGAAATTTGTCCATTTTAACTGCTACATTTCTCTAAGATTATTCTCTTCCGACATTTTCTATATATATTACTTAATTATGATATGTTTTGTGTGTGTGTGTGTGATAAATACTCACCTTGTCATCTTTCTTCCCTCCTCCAGGTCCTTGTCCTCCACTCTGACTTTGACCCTGTATATGAAAAACATTAATTTAACCAGAAGTTTTGATGATGTCTATCACCTACACTGACTTATGAATTGATTATAATTTGTATTTTGCTTCATTTTTCATGAATTTATGACACATTCATTCAATATATATAGATATATATATATATAATTACGTGTTCATTTACATTCAATAAGGTAATAATATTTGTAAATTTTGATTTAGAATAATTCACGTCTTATTTGTTTACATATATAAAAACACACGACCATGATAATGCATGCATTTGACACATCCATTTATCTATTTTTTCTTTAATACCAGTACCAATGTTTAATAATAGGTGAATATAATAAGAATACCGTGTTGATATTATTAATCATACATTTATCCTCTTTTTATATAATACCTTGATTGATTACAAGCTAGCGCTACAAGCTAACTTCCCTGTTTGCTGTCTAACACGCCACACTCAAACACATGTAGATGTCCAGCAGCTCTTAATGTGCATAATTCATTTTTAAACCAGTAATACATATGTTTTTATTAAAGATGAAATATAAACTACTTAAGAAATGAAAAGAAGTGAAATATGCTGGCTCACCATTGCAAGTGTCGCCGTCTGTTTCTTCTTCTGCACTAATAGATCAAGCCAAGTGTCTCGTCTCCGCCACCTTCTGGAGAGGAGGGCACATTGACCGACGTCCTCCGTACTTCTTCGTGATGACATTTCTCTCGACAAATTAGTTTATATTGTTTGTAATTATTGAGCCAGTTGGTTATTAATTAGCTTTTTTATTAATTAGTTGTAACGATTTGACCCCATAAGAGAGCGTACACAAATAAAGTATCGCGAGAGTACACTGTTTGCAACGAATGGCTGGGGTTACGGTCTCGCGAGACTTTCACAGAAAGCTGGTTACTATCTTGCCGCGACCCCGAATAAAATAATGGGGAGCGTTGAAACCTTTGAGTCTCTTGAAGATTTCAATGCATGTCTTCAACAGTACGAGGGAGACACGAACACAAAGTTTATCGTTTTGAAGAGCGATCGTGCATTTGGCAAAAATGGTACGTTTGAAGAACGATGTCATATCTGAAGTTCTAGATGTATTAATGGATTTTAATGACCTGTGCAGTTATTACTGCTGCTTATGCTTAAAGTTAGAGATCTGAACTAACCTCAACCCTATATATTTTCTGGCCCATAACTTATGAATTTTGTATATGGTAAAGTACAGTGTTGGGGAAAGTTACTTTTAAAAGTAATGCATTACAATATTGCATTACTCCATACAAAAAAGTAACTAATTACGTTACTTGGTTATTTTTTTATGGAAAGTAATGCGTTACGTTACTTTTGCGCTACTTTTTAAATCTGGACAGGGCTTGCTTGTTTGTTTTTAAAATAAAAAAGTTATATTTTTGGCAAATATAAAAGCCTTTTCACACCAAAAGTGAAATGAATAAGCCTCAGGCTGAAGGGAAAGTAAATTTACGTCCGTACAGTAGAATGCAGAAGAAGACATTTCAACACACTTCAGCAATAAAAAAAGACACAAATGTTCGTCTAGAGTAATTTTTGCTTATTAGTATCGTTGAACTGGATCATCGAAGGTCAGAAGCAAAGACATTGGTTAATAGAATGGGATTAGATACATAAAGGATATTTGTGTTGTTTAACATTTAATTATTGCAGGTTTGCGTCATATTCTGAGTTGCATTATTTTTATTCATTTTGAGGAATACTGAATCTGTGTTTTTTTTTGTGAGTGAGATGAATGAATGCATATTCATATTTATTTTAGAACTACAGTAACATCTGATTTCTCTCAACATGGGGGCAGGAGAGCTGTCAATCAATAAATTGGAAAAAAAAAGTAACTTGCGTTACTTATTTGAAAAAGTAACTCAGATATTCTCTTGTAAATTAAAAAGTAATGCGTTACTTTACTAGTTACTTGAAAAAAAGTAATCTGATTACGTAACTTGCGTTACTTGTAATATATTACCCCCAACACTGGTCACGTACTAATAAGCAGGACTGGATATCTTGATAACTGATTAAATAATCTTTTAAATACTTCAGCAACCACTTAGCATACATTGGCGACTATCCACTATACAGCTCCACTTAAATGCCTTATTCTTCTCTATTTTTATTTTTATGTTTTTTGTTTTTTTTCCAGATCTGACAGTGGAAAAACAGCTACAGTGGGAAGTGACGATTGTTCCTTTCAATGGCATGCCTTTCAAGATTATTGGGAAAAAGACATATATATGTCACCAAGGAAGAGACAAGCACACCAAAGCCAAACAAAGACGGCAGGAGAGTAAAGTAAGAGCTTCACACAGATTTCTGATCATATTTGGACATACCTTGAATAGTTCAAATGACTTTTATTCTGTAATGTCTTCTGTTTCAGGCACAAGGTCATGAATATTCAAGCCTTAAAACAAGATGCCTGATGCAACCAACTAAAAAAATGGGTTGTCCTGCAACCATTTATGTTGTTCATATTGTGAGGTTTCCTGAGTATAAAGTAAGACACTTAATACATTCTTTCAGATCAGTAATATCTGTGACAACGACACATTTTTATCTGCACTTGGATATAAAATAATCTGAAATTGTAATTGTCAAATATATTAACACCATGAGGCATCAAGTGATTTTTGCAAGTGTCAGGCACATTTCATGGAAACCTTAACAGTATTTTTGTTTTTCGGGGCCAGATAAAAGAAGATAACCCGTATTAGAAACGAGAAAAGTCTTCAGCTGTTAGAGAGGCCCTAAGACTAGATCCAAAGCGTGTGCGCACAGAAGAAATGTTTGCAGCCAGCTTCCCAGATATTAAAGAGCATCAAAACCACCCCATTTTTGGAAAGGTTTGTGCCTAGGATTCATCTCACAAGATAAGGCAGACTAACATGACATTTGATTACTTTTATTGAAAGAATTGAATACTTTTATTCAGCAAGGATGCATTAAATTGATCAAAAGTAACAATAAAGACATTTATAATGTTACAAAAGATTTCTATTTCGAATAAATGTTGCTCTTTTGATTTTCCTATTCAACAACGAATCCTGGAAATCACAGTTTTCACAAAAATATTAAGCAGCACAACTGTTTTCAACATTGATAATAAGAAGAATTATATATTAGAATGATTTCTGAAGGATCATGTGACACTGAAGACTGGAGTAATGATGCTGAAAATTCAGCTTTGATCACAAGAATAAATTACATTTGAGAATATATTCAAATAGGAAACAGTTATTTTAAATTGTAATAATATTTCATAACATTACAGTTTTTTACTGTATTTTTGATCAAATACATGCAGCCTTGGTGAGCATTAGAGACTTCTTTCAACACTATTAAAAAAATCTTACCAACCCCACACCTTTGAACAGAACTGTATGCTATGCAAATGCAATGAGTAATGCCATTTTGTTCTGCTTAAACTTGCAGGAATCAAGAGACATTTGGAACATCATAAAAAAGGTCAAGGCAGGAAACAGGAAGTCCAGTGCAGACCATCATAATCTACAGGTAAACATTGTCACCTGATTGAGGTGCTGTTTAGGGATGTGCCGAACGAGGCTTTTGAAGCAGTGAGGCTTTTACAACAAACTGCATTGATGCTTCGAAGCTTTTGACACAGTGCTCTACCTCGCTATCTGGTGGTCAATAAAAATTCTTACACCAACTGTATCATTTAGATGTTTTGTTCATTGGGATGTCATTGTAAGGTTTAATTGTCTATTTAATAAGCATATGTGTCATAGCAAGGCGGCATGTGTGTGTGCAGCGATAGAGTTTCCCAGATTTATTGTATTTTGCACAATACAATGACAATAAAGACTTTATTTTATAAATTTGTACTTGCATCAAACTTGTGTCTTTTCATGTGGTTGAGCCCGCAAGGTGTTTTAATTTTCATTCAGTCAACAGACATTCACATGTCATTGTTTTTAATAGTAATAGTAAGTTAAAAAGGATGCACAAAAAAACTGGATTCGTGACGTCAGCCTCTAAAGGGAAGTTGAATCAGAAGGAGAGGTTAAAGGGTTAGTTCACCCAAAAATGAAAATTCTGTCATTAATTACTCACCCTCGTGTCGTTCCAAACCCGTAAGACCTTCGTTCATCTTCGGAACACAAATGAAGATATTTTTTTTGATGAAATCCGAGAGCTTTCTGACCCTGCATAGACAGCAATGCAACTACAACATTCAAGGCCCAGAAAGGTAAGGACATCGTTAAAATAGTCTATGTGACATCAGTGGTTCAACCGTAATGTTATGAAGTTACGAGAATACTTGTTGTGCATAAAGAACGCAAAAATTACTTTATTCAACAACTCTTCTCTTCCGTGTCAGTGTCCGCCGCCATTCATGCAAGAATCACGATGCATTATTTTAACAATGTCCTTACTACATTTCTGGGCCTTGAACGTGGTAGTTCTGTGGTAGTAATTAATGACAGAATTTTCATTTTTGGGTGAACTATCCCTTTAATGCATTTTTTTTCTTTGGAATAATGTGTACAAATGACTCGTTCACAATAAGACCAGAACTAAGTCAGTTTGGATTTCATGTTGGCTTTCTTTGAACATTGACCATGTTTTATGTTGCAGAAATGATTTTGTTACATTCAAAATTCTTTAAAATGATTAATTGACAGGATATACGTTGTAGGCCTTGGTAAACACATGGAAAGAAGAGGGCTGTGCCATTGAGTACAGACCCTCTCAGGAGAAGGAGGATGGTAGTGTGGTGAAGATGCTGCTGTGCTTGCAGACGCCGTGGCAGAAGAGGCTTATGTTACTGTATGGACAGCACATGTGCTTACTGGATGAATCCTATCGAGCTGGCAGGTGCGTTGGTGGTGCAGTTTGTCATTTAATGTGTACTTGTATACAAGAATGAAATCTCAGATTCACTAAAACTAAAAATAACAACTATTTACTGGTCTTTCCCACACAGAAATTCACTGCCACTCTTCTTTCTGTGGGTGAGGACAAATGTGAGCTACGCCGCTGTTGGAGTGTTTGTCACTCAGACAGAGACTAAAGAGGACATCGCAGAAGCCTTGAAGGTGTTTCAGAAGTGGAATTCAGACTGGAATCCTTCACACTTCATGGTGGACTTCTGTGAGGCAGAAATCAGTGCTTTAGAGGAGGTGTTTAAGGGTATGTTTAGTAGTGTGTAAATGTCTATATTTTATTTGGACTAGATGATTTGGCATGACAAATTTAATAGCAGCACTGCTAGAATACATTTATACAAAAGCACATATGAAATCAATTTTGGACCACTTCCAAATCCAATAATCTATAATTTCCTCTAAATTCTGAATTTTTCATCGTAATTTCATATGATTTATGAAATATATGAATTTATTTTTCATATATTATATATACTATGACATATTAACTATATATTAACTGTTAACTATATATGATTAATAAAATATGTATATTATATATATATATACACACACACACACACACATTATAAAGTAAATATTTTAAACAAATGTTAATCATTTTTATTCATTATTTTTTTATCCAATTTTCCTCATAACTTTTCATCACTGTCATTTCATCATTTGATATTTATTTTATATATATTAATCATTTTTGATGATTTATATATATATACAGTGGGTACGGAAAGTATTCAGACCCCCTTCAATTTTTCACTCTTTGTTATATTGCAGCCATTTGCTAAAATCATTTAAGTTAATTTTTTTTCCTCATTAATGTACACACAGCACCCCATATTGACAGAAAAACACAGAATTGTTGACATTTTTGCAGATTTATTAAAAAAGAAAAACTGAAATATCACATGGTCCTAAGTATTCAGACCCTTTGCTGTGACACTCATATATTTAACTCAGGTGCTGTCCATTTCTTCTGATCATCCTTGAGATGGTTCTACACCTTCATTTGAGTCCAGCTGTGTTTGATTATACTGATTGGACTTGATTAGGAAAGCCACACACCTGTCTATATAAGACCTTACAGCTCACAGTGCATGTCAGAGCAAATGAGAATCATGAGGTCAAAGGAACTGCCTGAAGAGCTCAGAGACAGAATTGTGGCAAGGCACAGATCTGGCCAAGGTTACAAAAAAATTTCTGCTGCACTTAAGGTTCCTAAGAGCACAGTGACCTCCATAATCCTTAAATGGAAGACATTTGGGACGACCAGAACCCTTCCAATCGAGGGAAAGATGAATGCGGCCAAGTACAGGGATATCCTGGACAAAAACCTTCTCCAGAGTGCTCAGGACCTCAGACTGGGCCGAAGGTTTACCTTCCAACAAGACAATGACCCTAAGCACACAGCTAAAATAACGAAGGAGTGGCTTCACAACAACTCTGTGACTGTTCTTGAATGGCCCAGCCAGAGCCCTGACTTAAACCCAATTGAGCATCTCTGGAGAGACCTAAAAATGGCTGTCCACCAACGTTTACCATCCAACCTGACAGAACTGGAGAGGATCTGCAAGGAGGAATGGCAGAGGATCCCCAAATCCAGGTGTGAAAAACTTGTTGCATCTTTCCCAAAAAGACTCATGGCTGTATTAGATCAAAAGGGTGCTTATACTAAATACTGAGCAAAGGGTCTGAATACGTAGGACCATGTGATATTTCAGTTTTACTTTTTTAATAAATCTGCAAAAATGTCAACAATTCCGTGTTTTTCTGTCAATATGGGGTGCT